AGCTTTCAAGACTATCGTCTAAAATAGTTCATTGCTCGAGTCCTGCGTGATACTGCAGCTTCTGATATCTTGATGGAATTTTCGTTCGTGGTCTCTTTTTCCCCGTTTTGCCCCTGGATGATAGGTTTAGGGAATTTCTTTTTTTAGCAAGCTTTCTTGGGTAATATATGATTAATCATTTACCCGAAATTGGAGAATGTTTGGTTTTCTGGAGTTGGTCTCGGGCAGAGGGATGATATTGCGGGAAGGAAATAGGAGGGTTTTTTTTTGGTAGCTTGTTATTGATAAAAGTTTAATAGAAACTGTTTTTAAGATTTGTTATTAGATGTTAAAATTACTGTCCATGACTTGATTGAGAAACGTTAAGTTGTTTTAGAAATGTCTGAGGAGAAAGAAGAGAAAATACCGTTTTTGAAACAGTTAATCAAACATTTTTGGACGAAATTTTGTTCTGAAAAACAGTATAGTTCTTAAAACCAACTTCTTAATGACAACACTAAGTACTTGAATATTTGCTTGGGCGGCTATTTAAATTAATGAAGTGAACTAAGTATTTAGTCCTCGTAAAATGAATAGTGAATATTTAGTTTGGGAGCTTGGTAGGCTTAGCACTTCATTGTGGGGGTCGGTTTCTAAGAGTTTTTGTAATTATTAGTTAAGTGTTATTATTTTGGACTAGAGCCCCATTCTCTAGGGGTGTTCTATGGTCGAGCTGTTTTTTGTATGTCTTTGTATATTTTTTCATTTCTCTCAATCAAAGCTCAGTTACTTAAAAAAAAATAGTTTCATTTTCTACTCAATTCTCTCCTCAACCTAGGAGAAGTTAGAAGTCTGATTTCTGAACTTCAACAAGTTTTATATTATGTGGAGCACAATTTAAAGTGTTGATATGGTCACCAGAACCAGGTAGATTTTAACCTTGTGACATCAGTTTGTACGGTAGAAGCTAGGAATGTAGTTGAAAAGCTTCGAGTCTTACTTTCTTTTGTTTTGTCGTGTTTTACTTCTTATTATTTTTAAAAATTTTATGAGTTATTGTAATGCCTGCTTTGAGTTGCTTTCTAATGGTTTTTTTGTTTAATGTATAGGTTGTTGCAATTACTGTCTTTTGTTTACTAGTGGTGGCGTTTTATGCTTTCTTTGCTCCCTTCCTCGGAGGCCTTGTTTGGGAGTACATATTGCTCGGCATTTATTCACCAGTGGTATGCAATATTATTTCTGACTCTTCCTTTTTTCCCTTTATCAAGCATATGCATAATGCTCTCAATTCGAGTTATCAATTCATGGAGAAAGATTTTTCTTCCTTGCAGATCCTGAAAGTTGTAATCTATTCGAATTCTCTTCCTAGCTCGATATCTGCACATTTCACCTTTTTGTTTTCCTCTAAAAATGGTTCATTTATAGCAGTCACTAATTTTTGGATAAGGAAAGTTATTGCATTGCCATTAACTATCCATTTTTTGGACCGTACCAAGTCTAGAATATTGAGAAATTGGTTATTGATCCCTCTAGACCATATTGTCCTTTAGATTGACCATGCGTGTACCATAGAACATCTTCCACACCCCACTTAAATTGTGGAAATCTATTTTTTTCTCACTCTCAATCTTTGCATTGCATTGCAGGCACTCCTTGTTTTCATTCTTTATGTTCGATGCACTGCAATTAATCCAGCTGACCCTGGTATTATGTCTAAATTTGATCATCGGGTAGCAAACCCCAACAATAATCAAGGTTTATCATCGAAGAGTCTACCACAAAATTTAGATGAAATTGTAAATGTTAGAAATTCTTCCCCATCATCAGCTTCCAGAAGTTCCATATCAGGAGCTAATTTGAGTAAGAAAGGCTCTGTAGGAGAAATTTATAGAGTAGACAATCCATTGGAACACCCAACAGTTCGCAGTACTAACAGTTTTGGACTAGTTTGTTGTGCATTGTTTGTACATGAAGATTGTCGAAAAAATGATGGAGCAGCGGACCCTCTAAGTGCTGCTGAGGATGCTTTGTTCTGCACATTGTGCAATGCTGAGGTATTTGGTTCGGATGCACTATCATAGTTATGACAAAAAATAGTATAGTATCATAGTGAGTCATAACAATAAATGTTAATATTCTGCTTTACTTATTCATACATCTTTCCCCTTATGCATCCAGTATCAGTTTTATATAATAGTTAAACATCGTCAAGGTTATTAAGCTTGCTCAACTTATTATGAGAAGATAAATTAATCGTAAAGAAATTTTAAGATTACCTCATTAACATCCATGCATTATTGATTATTTTTTCTCCTTATCAAGATTGTTCCTAATCTGTATTGAACACAAAGAACAAGACTTTTCCTAGCAACTTGTCATTACATAATATTAGCTATAATGATGTACAGGCCATTTGTTTTAATATCTAAACTGCCACCCAAGTAACATTCTACTGGCTACTGCTCTGTCTTACCAATATAAGATGAACCTTTCCTCATTTCTATTGTTGCACACATCACATTTATGATAATTTCAAAATATCAGTCTAAGGCATCACAAAAGCTTGTGGTCTTCAGATTCTTGTTCTAATTCTTTAATGGATAGGTTACTTGATATAATACTGTTTTATCAAAACGTTATTAGGATACTCTTCAATTCATCTGTTAAAATCAATGTTGTTTAATGAGTTTAAAGGAGTAAAGGTATAGAGCTTATACAGAGAACCAATAATATCATTATACATCAGTTGCATAGGCTTATGATTGGGTGGCATGGCAGCTATTTTTGGTATGCTTTAGTGCTTTAGCATCAGAAAGTTCCATGGAGAATTTATCTCTTCAACTGACGCTATACATGTTCTTGTATATATATACTTTTCCATTTACTAGGTTAGGCAGTATCATTTAGCAACCGATTTTTGCAAAATGTTTCTTTTTTCTTTTGTGGAGTGACTTACCTTTTCTTTCCCCCATAGATTTACTTGGATGTTTTTATTTTTTATTATTTTATTATTTTTTATAATTAGTCGCATGCTTCTATGATCACAAAAGTAATTTTTTATGAACTATGAATATTTGAGCGTTGTAGGTGCGCAAGTTCAGCAAACACTGTAGAAGCTGTGATAAATGTGTTGATGGTTTTGATCACCATTGCCGGGTATATCTTTCACTTTTTTAAAAACCATTTAGTTTGTTTAGAATTTCATTATGTCAAGATCTTTATTGAGGATCAACTGTCTTTTCAACATGACTGCAGTGGCTCAACAACTGTGTGGGCCAGAAAAACTACATCACCTTTATTTCTCTTATGGCAGTAAGTCTTGTTTGGGTAAGTATTAAAAACTGGATACTATTCTATGAACCCATAGTATACCCTGTCATCTTGCTGCTAATTACTTGTTACCTTCGTGGTTCAGCTTGTTGTTGAAGCTGGAGTGGGTATTGCTGTTTTAGTGCGATGTTTTGTTAATAAAAAAGGCATGGAAACTGAAATTATTGATCGACTTGGAAATGGATTTTCTCGTGCCCCCTTTGCGACAGTTGTGGTAAAGACAAAATTTGGAATAAAAGCCAAATAGTTGTAGCTTGCATATGATATTGTCAAAAAATCAAGTTAAGTGCTAATTACTAATCTGCATTTGGTTTTATCCAGGCAGTGTGTACTGCAGTTTCCATGCTAGCCTGTATCCCTCTGGGTGAACTTTTCTTCTTCCACATGATATTAATCAAAAAGGTCAGTGGCGAGAGCTTAAATAGTTTTTTCATTCTCCATGATCTTTGCTTGGTCTTGGGAAAATACTGTGGTGGGGTTATAGTCCACATTATGCATTTGAAAGCAAAATAATATTTCTATATCTTCCAATATTCCATCAAGTTGGAAAACTAATGGATCATTAATTATGCAGTTCACTAGGTGTTTGGATTTTCTCATCAGTTATTTTCCTACGTGTGTTGAAATAGGGTATTACAACCTATGAATATGTTGTTGCGATGAGGGCTACAAGTGAGGCTCCTGCAGGAGCTTCTGTTGATGAGGAATTGCCAAATATAATGTACTCTCCATCTGGATCTGCTACTACTGGTTTGAGTGGTGGAAGTTCTCTTGGTTTACAATACAAGGGAGCATGGTGTACGCCTCCAAGAGTTTTTATTGATTATCAGGTATAGTTATCTTATTCTTTAAATAAGAAACCTTTCATTCTCTCCTACACTTTATGGATATTTGTTTTTTCTATTGGGTAAATATTTTCTGTATGTAACTTGACAACCGACAATTTTAGTTATTAAAACCAGTCATAGGTTGATGGCTTTTTTAACATGCTCCTGTTTGACTATGTCTAAATTCAGAAAAGGAGAAATTGAAATATTGCTTTCATAATGTCCCCATCTGGCGCGTTTCCATAGATTAAAAAAGCACAGCTTTTATAAATCAAAGCATAACCAACAAGTAAATGTAACTTTGCAAAGAGGTTTTCAAAAAATTGGAAGGATAAAGTTTATATATCTTTTTACTAAAATGTACTAGTGTGCGGCCCGGCCATTGAACAACAACAAACTCTAGTTCAAGCTCTTTCATTTTTTGTGTTGTACAGGTAGCTTCTTATTTTGATTTTGAATCCTTGCATGTGGAAATGAATGCAACGCCCTACGCTGGGGTTGACATTTCTCCATTGATATGATTGTAGTTCTATTTTATCCATGGGGAAAATTTGCGTGCTTTACTCTGCACACAAGCTTCTTACTATTAACAAAGCCCCACTTAAATGTATTAGGATGAAGTGGTGCCTCACCTGGAGCCTGGAATGGTCCCATCTACTGTTGATCCAGATGCAGCCGGAGCTTCAGAAAGAGGGCCAAAAGTACCCAAAAGAGCCGTTCGTCTTAGTGCTTGGAAACTTGCAAAGTTAGACTCTAATGAGGCCATGAAAGCAGCAGTCAAAGCAAGAGCATCATCGTCTGTTCTGAGGCCTCTTGATAACCGCCGTTTCCCAGATACTGAATTGAGCTCCAGCGGAAATGTCAGCGTTAGAAGCAGTGTGAGCACTGACACGGGGGTAAATAAAGAGATCAAGAATGATCTTAGGCTCTCTCCAATAAGAAACTCTTTGGCTCCGAGTCAAGCTAGCAGGGATGATTACGAAACCGGAACACAGAGCATGAGTAGCTTCAGTAGTCCAAGCCATGTACATGAAACAGTCACCCTCAGTCCTCTCCCACATGGTAATGGTCTGGGTCGTTTCAGTGCTGCTTCGTCGCTCCCCAGCCTAGTTCCTGAACATCAGTATTCTTCCAAGACATCCTACCCTATTGTTACCGACCTGAGATCGCACACATCTGGTTTTGATGATAAGCTCGCACAGAGGGGAAACATTACTGATCCATTACTGCTTTCAGCCCCGGCTACTTCTCTTCTCAGAGATGTCAGGAAGACATCTGTTGTCTGGGACCAAGAAGCTGGGAGGTATGTCTCAGTTCCCGTATCAGCTTCAGAAACTCGCCCTCCTAGATCGTCGGTGCAGATAGGCTTGCCGAATTTGAACGCTGAAACAAGCAACAATGCTAGAAAGCCAGTTATTCCATCGCAAGCTACAACATCTTCTGATACAAAAGCTCCATTGCAGCAAGCAGAGAAGTTAATGTACACGGGAGAATCCATTTTCTTTGGTGGTCCTCTAGTGAATATCCCTTCCCGAGATAGTTTGAGAAGCGAAAGGGTCTCGACATCGAGAGAGGGCCAAGATAGAATGGCAGTGAACCTATCCCGTGAGTCGAGATTCAAAAGGGACTCAGCTTCAAACCAACTTCCTGTTTTTGTCCCTGGTGGCTATGAGCAGAACCGCCCATCTGGTTCTCGCATAAGGTAGGTAGGTAGGTCGGTCAGTCGGTTGCCGAAGCATTACGATTCAGCTGTCTGAAAGAGGTGTAATTAGAAACTTTTCTCCCGTCAGCAAGTTGGAAAAAGATGCCAAAAGGACGGAATATATCTATTATTGGCCCTGAAATCTTGGAACCCGACATTATTTGGAAACTCAATTGGTAGTCGGTACATGTGAAGCAGTTTCCTCAAGGATCGCATTTTGATTAACACGGAATTTAGGTGTAATTTGTAGTTGAGGTGGAAATCTCTTTCTTTATCTACCTCAAATCTGTAGCCAAAAGGATCTTCCTAGTTTTTAATTCTTGGCCTCTGAACTTCATTGAGGCCATCCATGGAATTATTATCCAGTTCCCTTCTCCAATTTTTTTTTTTTTCCAATCATTTAATTGACACCATCATTTTCCAGTCTCTCTGGATCAAAATTACTGATAATCTTCTATTTTCTGGAGCTATTTTTCTTTTTAATCTCACAGGTTGATGTGGCTAAAATCAAGTATGGTAGAGACCGAGTCGATAACTTCGGGAAGTAGCCGAGGGTTCTTGGTAAGATCGTTCTACTCTTTTCATCTTTAGTGTTCTATTTTGATGCTCGTTGGATACTTGTTAAGTGCAATAAACTAAGACCAAACTAAGATCGGACATTAGTCTGACAAAATTTTCGTAATTCTTGTGAAGAAGTGTTCTAAAAAATTATAATGTTTTCTACCAAAATGTTGTTAAAAGAAGTGTTTTATTTACAAATACTACTCTAAGACTTAGTTTATTTAGTAGGAAAATTGAATTAAAAATGAAAAGAGAAGTTGTGGTGCAGGAATTAAAAATTTTCATATTGTGTCTGTTAAAATTGTTTAGGATCAAAGTTGGAACATTCAAGGTTGTAATATATCAAGTTCCATTTTTTACTCTTTATATTAATATTTATTTAGCAGTTAGAAAAGCAACACGTGTTGCATGAGCTTTTAGTGTTTTTAAAATAAAATTTAATGGTGAGGTTTAGAAATTATTTAATAAATACATTAAAATAAAAAAGTAAAAAAAAATTGAGTTGTATTAATAATTAGTTTTTAAATAAAATATATTTAATTTTCAAACTTGTCTTTATCAAGAACCAAAAACATTGTAGCATAGCATTATATAAAAAAGAAGGTTATATGTCTTTTCCAAAAAAAAAAAAAAAGGGAAAGGAGGAGCAAATGAAGCCATTGGAAATAAAAAGAATAAATTTATAACTGCGTTTATTAAACTAATAATTTTTAGTCTGAAAAAAATAATGTTCTGAATTAAACAAGAAATAAGGAATAAATTACAATAAGTATATAGCAAATCAAAATATAAAAACTTTCTTCTATGGTATCCCTTTTGAAAAGTTTGATATTTATTAAGCTTGACAGGAATTAAAAAAAATTACAATAAATTAGTTAATTAAGAAAAAGACAAAATGAGAAAAGAAAGTTGATCATATATGTCAAAGTAAGTATAGTTCAGCGGTAATTGTCAGGTAATGATATACCTTCAACCAATAGGTTATGAGTTAAGTCTCTCATCTCCACCAACTAAAAAAAAGTTTATCATCTATAGTTCATTTTACGATTACGTATAGAGTATGGATATAACGAGACGTCCAAATGAAGAGTTCTACGAAGAGATCTCGTCAAATGTTAAGTTTAACGCTTTTCCTTGGATTTTGATTTTTAAGAAGTTTTATTCTTATCCTTAAAGTCTTATTATTTTCAATTAAACTTCTTAAATTTTGAGAAATTAGAGTGACTAATCTTTTTTGTGAGTAATTTAAGAATGGGTAGATACATTAATGATATAAATAAAGCGTAAAAAATTTGAAGTTTTCAAAAGAACAAAGCGTATAAAATTTAAAGTTTTCAAAAGTAGGCAAAATTAACTTTTGCAGGTAATCCATCCCAAAAATCCTTAAACAACTTTGAGATCCCTTTTGTCGAGCTGTCTTTTTATAGTTCTTTTTCATTTCATTGAAAGTTCGGTTTCTTATTAAAAATAAATAAATAAATAACAAGATTATTTTCATCAAATGATTTATCTGAATATTTTTTTTTTAAAAAAAACATTATAAATGATTTGATTCCAATGTCTACTCAGATCCCACTAAGAATACCAGGGGATGATGATGTTGGGACATGGGAGAAAGCATTGTCGAAATTGGGCTTTTCTTCTTTTAAAAAAATTGGTGTCCCACAATAATAATAATAATAATAATAATAATAATAATAATAATAATAGTAATAATAATCGTCCTTATCTTTTGGAAGAAAAAGTATGATCCAAAAGTAGACAAATGCAAGTATCACACTCAATCTATTTGTATCACATTCTTCTTTGAATTTCTCAATTTAGTGCTGCCTTTTGCTCTTGCCTTCTAGATTTTATATTCTTTTGTTTGGACCAGACCTACCGTATAACGTTATATCCATCCACATTTTTATATATGTTTATGGGTTCGACAAGAACATGAGGTGAATCGATATTTGTATGGTATTGTAGAAAAATCGACAAAAATATAATATAGGTTAACAAAATATCACTAATATGGAAAAATATTTGAAAATGACATTGCCCACACAAAATGAAAAAAGGTGAAGTGGGAATAAATTTTGTTTCTAAAAATCAAATTGATTTTGTTTTTATAATTTATTGTTTAGACTTCTTACAACTTACCTCGGAAATCTACCCCATTGTCACATTTTAAGTCAAGTTTTAATTTAAAGCTTTCAATTTCACATATTAAATCATAAATTAATGTATTAATTTTTGTGGCCAGGTATGAGAATTCTTGTGGGTTGACCATATTATTTTTACTGTACATATTGGATGTTTTTTTTAGCTAAATTTGAGTAGTTTGTGGCTGGATTTGGATGCTTTTACCAAATAATTTTATGGTTAAGTTCGAGTATTTTTATAGTTAAGTTTGAGCAATTTTCTAACTTATTTTTTAAAGCGTTTGTCAGTTTAATTAAAGTTAGTTCGTGATCTGAAAATAAAAATCTATAAAATTCAATGAAAACATAGTTGTGATATATGTTTGATAGCCAACTTAAAACTTTTTAAAATTTTTTTCTAAGTGGTTTGTAATAAATTTGTAAACCATTACCAGTAAAATATTTAATTTAATTAAAAATATTATTAATTAATTTATTAGCATAAATCTTACCAATTTTGTAAGAATGATTATTTTACCCTATTATTAGGGTACATGTATTGATTTTAATAAAAATAAAATGAGTTTATATTATCCAAATTTTTAACATTTTTTTAAACATAATTTATGAAAAAATAAATTTAAAAAACTCAAACGAAAATTAAAAAAAAAATCTTAATGCCATACTCTCTTATCTATTAAATTATATTTAGATAAAAAAAACAAGTGTTAAAATAGGTAAAAAAAGAAAAAAAAAAGAGGTGATGTAAATTTAGTTATTGTGATATGGAAGAAATTGTTTATTGGTTTTTGGAAAATTATTTAGCGAAGAAGATGAAGATTGCGATGCGTCGGCGGCTGAGAAGGAGACGGATCAAAGAATTCAATATCAAACCACTGATAAATCTGTTCCGATTTTGTCGTAACTTTCAACTCTATATTTATTTATTTATTTAAATATGAAGGCTCTCTCTCGTCTCTCATCTCTCATCTCTCATCTCCCGGTTTCTCTGCAGCCATTTGAGCTCCATTGTTCTCGCATTCTTCCGGAGACATAGCGACAATGGCCTTCAATCATCTCCTCCGTTCCACTCTCAGGTCTCAGGTACAAATCGAATCCCCCAGTTCTGTTTCTGATTCACTTATCGCTACTTTGATCTGCTCCTTCAGTTTCGTTTTTGTCTGGGTTTTGTTCTTATTTGTTTCTGACGTTCATCGTTTTCGTGTTTCTCCATTGAATTGAAATTTGCCGGGTTGAATTCTAATTCCATTGCCTGGCGTTTCGTTTCCTCGATTTTCGCGCGGGTTTTTGGTGCCGTTTTTTGCTTTTCCAACTCGGATTAAATTATTGTTATTCACTTTTATGTACGTCATTGGGGGAAGGCTCATGATGAAGTGAAGCTTGATTATTGAAACAGTTCTCCCGTCCTTTTCTGGTTTAAGACCAATCGGGTTCTACCGGTCCTTCTTTTTCCTTTTCTTTTTGGTTTTTTCCTTTCTTTACTTGAGTTTTCTTTGTTAGACCTCTGTTTTTGTGTTCATAATTTCAGATCACCTAGTTCATATCAGTAATCAATATCGTATTGCCACTTAAAAAGTTTAATGATTAATGATGTTAGAATTAGAAGCCAATATTTTCTTTGATTATTTTATTGTTCATGCAGTTTGGTTGTTTGAGGAATGTGGGTTTTACTTGCAACTGAACTTTCAACTCCCACCTCCAAATGAATGATGTATCTCGAGTTCAGGGAAAACCTTATTTTCATGGATCTATTCAATGACTAGCGTCGCACTCAACGCGGGGCATAATTTAACCATTTCTTAAAGCTTGATTGAAAAAGTACTCCTGCTTTTTCAGTTTTTTTCTTGTTTAAGACCAATGGGGTCTTACTGGCCTTCCCTTTTTTTTTGGGGACAGATTTTACTTAGTTTTCTCTGTTCGTCCTCTGTTTCAATAACTATTAGATTCATGATTTCAGACTATCCAGTTCATATCAGGAATCGAGAGCATACGCCACTTAAAATTTAGAACACTAATGTTAGAAGCAAAGATTTTTCTTCTATTATTTTGTTGTTCATGAAGTTGGTTTTTTGAGCAATATAGGTTTGACTCACAACAAAATTTTCAATCCCCACCTCCAAATGAAAAGATACTGTATCGTGAGTTCAAGGGAAATCTTATTTTCTTTAATCTGTTAAATGACTAGGGTCTAAACCAGTGACTTAATTTCACTATTTTTAATGCTTCTTACTATAACCTTCATAATCTTGTTTCCACTGTGCAAACCAACATGAGCGGAAATTGTGAAACTACTTTGCCTTTTCTCCTTCAAATGAAAATCTTGATTTTTGGTAATAGTTCAAAAATTTTCTTGATTATGATGGTGGTTCTTTCTCTTCTTTTGTGGCTTATTAGTAGGCATAATTATAAAGCAGCATATAACCCTTTCTTTTTTCTGCAGTTTGGTACCTTTACAAAAGCCGTTGCTACTTCTAGTAGAGCTTCACAGGAACATGTCATCTTGGCTCCCTTCCTGGCCCGCTTACACGGTACAGAGGCTTCCGTGCAAAAAGAAGATTCAAGGTTAAACTTTAACTATTTAGGCCTTCCAATACGGCTCATTCTCTATTCCTTTTTTGTGTTCTAATGTAAGATTTGTGATAATAATGCTTGCTTGGACTACACTATCATCTGCAGAAAAAATAAAATTTGATTAAGTCTCTCATTGACCATAAACATGCTCTAATTACAGGTTTAAGGGGCATGATATGCTTGCACCTTTTACTGCTGGATGGCAGACCACCGATGTTAATCCACTAATTATAGAAAGATCTGAGGTACCCTTCATTTGTTTTATCAGCCTAATGATATCTTACAATCAAATGGATAATAAAAGTGAAGACTTGTCTCTTTGATTTAATGAGAAGGTAATGTTTGTTCATTGTACTTTGAACTCTATGGTGATACAGGGCTCATATGTATATGACATTGATGGGAGGAAGTACCTTGATTCTCTTGCTGGTCTATGGTGCACAGCCTTAGGTATGGTATAACAGTTTTACAATCATTGTTTATCATCCTAGCTGTATTTTAGGAAAATCTATGATTTTGATTTTTTTCTTTGGTGAGATACTTGATAGTAAGCATGTTGTGGTGCCTAATAAGGAACTCTTGTTCTGGGATATATTAAATATGAATTTTATTTGATATTTTGGAGTTTAAAAGAAATACACTACACTGATATGGAGTATTTTAGACTTCTAGTTATAATTTGGGAGTATCTAAAATCTCTTAGAATTCAGTCTAGCTGGTTCAGGTAATCCTGAGAACCAGACATGTTAATCGGCCTCAGAAGAATCCAAGAAAGTTAAAAATCCTCTGTGCCCACCACCCACTTTCCTAGTGTGTAAAACGTGTCATGACCTCAAGTTTCTTTACTTTCAAATGTTCCAAATAATAGTCTGCAGTTTGAATCTGGCAAACACAAAAGGATTGGAGAATTTCTGGGTATAAAACGTACTGGTATTTTAGGACAATGCATCTTGGTATGATTGGAGGAGTTCTTTTCTTTTCTAAGTTCACAATTTTTAGTAAGCTAATTAGCAATGTTGGAAACTCGTAGGAGGAAATGAACCGCGACTTGTGGCAGCTGCAACGTCCCAACTGAATACCTTGCCGTTTTACCACTCCTTCTGGAATCGTACTACGAGACCTTCTCTGGTATCTTATGTAACCTTAACCTTTTTGTTACCCTTTTTAAGATCTAAAACTGAACTCTCCATTGATTTTGCTCTCCTGCTTTTCAATCCTTTTATCACTCTAATTGGAATCATACTGCTAGACCTTCTTTGGAATCTCATACAGCTTTAAACATTTTGCTTTTTCCTTCGGATAAAAAACTCATTTTTCATTTTCTGTTCTCATATGACAGGATCTGGCGAAGGAACTCCTTGAAATGTTTACAGCTAGAAAAATGGGGAAAGTCTTTTTTGCAAACAGTGGTTCAGAAGCCAATGATACTCAGGTTCTTCTTACTTTTAACAAGAATTTCAAATTATTGCTATTACAATATCTACGTTAGGACTTTCTTTAATATATAAAAACAATTATTTGAATATTCTTGCTTGGTTTTTAATCTCCGTGTTGTGTAGAACCGTTTGTACTGGAGACCAACAACTCACTATCTACAAAGAATGATTAACCCAATGCCTCTTTGGCTTTAGCTAGCTGGTTAAACAAAGTAATACATTAAGGAGGTGAAACTACAAAGAGGAAGTTTAATTATTTACCCTAAATTCACAGTTCCATTAAATGTGACCACCATCATCTTATTGGTCCCTACGTTTCCTTAAATATTCAATTTTAATTCCCCACGGAATACATTGAGCAAATAAAGGAAGAGAAGTCGATTAAACTAACATGAATACAACATCCAGGTTTATTAGCTGTTAAAGCCTTCCTTTAAAAGCTCTCCAGCAAATGCAACCAATTAATTCTTGTTGTGTTTTTTTTTTGCTTAAAAATATGTATAGGTCAAGCTGGTATGGTACTATAACAATGCACTTGGAAGACCAAATAAGAAAAAGTTCATTGCTCGCTCAAAAGCGTATGCTCAAATCACTTGGCTGATGTTGATTTTCAGCATTTTTTTTATTATGTTAATTAATTTTTTTTCTTGCCCCCGAAATCTAACAGGTACCATGGTTCAACATTAATATCAGCCAGTCTTACTGGGTAGGTGAAGTTAGAAGAAAATACATGCTGTATCTAATGTTAAATGTAATAGTTACTTGAATATATTTTTCCACAGCCTTCCAGCTTTACACCAAAAGTTTGACATTCCAGCTCCATTTGTTCTGCACACTGACTGTCCACATTACTGGCGTTACCATCTTCCAGGTTTAGATTTATGCTTGGATTGTACTGTTAGTTCAAACATTTCCAATTTTTACAGCTATTAACTCGTGACCATCATTATGGCAGGTGAGACAGAGGAAGAGTTCTCAACCAGATTAGCCAAAAACCTAGAAGACCTCATACTCAAGGAGGGACCAGAGACGGTACTCTTAAATACTCTACTTTGTATTGGAATATGGCATATTACCATATAATTGATCCTTTTTCCACTGTGACTGATTTTCCAATTCAGATTGCTGCGTTCATTGCTGAACCTGTCATGGGGGCTGGTGGTGTGATTCCTCCACCTGCTACTTATTTTGATAAGGTAAGCTCCTAGTATCTTGAAATGTTTAAAGTGTACAATGACTTACCTTGTTGAGTTGCCTATTGATTCTTTCTTTCTTCCATTTCTCATTATGTTTTTAGTTTTACACAATATTGAAGGAACATAAGTGAGATAGCAAAACTAGAATAGCTTATCCTACTTTGATTAAAAAAATACTTTTAACTGCAAAGATGTAAAAGAAAATTCAATTAATTAATGCTTACATTAACCTAAACTATGAGGACTAGCTCATAGACATGATTATTACATGGATAAAATCCATCAACCTCTCCAAATTGTGTATATCCATAACCAGAAGATGGTTTTCGAAAATATAGGCTGTTAGCCCATCACACTTGGTTATCTTCTCAAGCATACTGTTAATACAGAATCTACAATCTTCGATCATGAGCATGTTGATGAGATTAGGCAAATTAAAATCAAGGAAGCTGGGACAACAATAGATGGAGGCTCTGGATACGAGCCAAAAAGGGAAAAAATCTGATGGATTAGGAAACACAATTTCATTGTAGGATTCCACAACAGGTTTCCTTGTTTGTGGACCAAACTCATCTTTAGGGTACAACATGAAATGGTGAAACAGATTTAACTGTTTATCAAATACATCACTGTGGAAAAGAAGGTGACGGCAATCTCAGATTCTCACCAAACCACATACTGATAATTCAGAAGGTGGTAATTCAATCACTCACTTTAGTTTTACCACAACCTTGAGATCCTTGATAGTAGCTCCACGCACATAGAATGTTCATTTTTTTTACTGGTTCTACCAAGATGGGTTCGGACTATTGGCAATACCAATTTACATGTTTCTCTTTAAGCTTCCTGCTAGCAGTCTTGGTCTCATTCAGAGGATCTGAGATTATGAATCTTGTGCAAATAAAAACACGAACAGAACTAAAAGAATCAATTAAAGCAAATTAACTCTCACAAGTAAATTCATTGAGCAACACCATCTTATAGGAAAGAGATTTAACTCGGCATTATAAAATGGAACTAAAATCCTAGTAAACATGAACGAGAAACAAGAAGAAAATAAGATATCCTGAAAGTAATTGAACACTAGCATAAGAAAAGGCTAAAAATGGACATATAGATGGGCTTGCACTGTCTACATGTGAACTATGATTTAGTTTTTTGCTTCTGTTATCAATATTTTTATTTGTGTTGTAGATCCAAGCTGTGGTCAAGAAGTATGACATACTTTTTATTGCTGATGAGGTACATGCTAATTGCAATTTTTATCTTCATCATTTCACTTTGTTTACAAGCATGGTTCAAACATAAAGCAGAAGCTCTTCTCATTATCTTTTATAGGTCATCTGTGCCTTTGGAAGATTGGGGACAATGTTTGGATGCGATAAATACAACATTAAACCAGACCTTGTATCTCTTGCAAAGGTGAAGTTTGGACTGTTCAACATAGGCAGATATCTTGTTTAATCGTGGCTTTTTGTTGTTTTTATTGAGCCTGATAGTGGACTATGCAGGCACTTTCCTCGGGATACATGCCTATTGGAGCTGTTATGGTTAGCCCCGAAATCTCTGATGTGATTCACTCTCAAAGCAATAAGCTAGGTATATCGTTACAGAATAAACTGGTTATCACTTTTAATGAACTCCAAGTCTGGCAACTTACCTATTCTTTCTGTTCAATAATATTACTTCCAGGTTCCTTTTCTCATGGATTTACTTATTCTGGACACCCCGTCTCATGTGCTGTTGCAATTGAAACACTAAAGATCTACAAGTACGTTCCTTTTCCTGTCTCATTTTTCAAGATTTTCTCCAGAAAAGAATATCTTATTCTACCTTAAACTTTGAAGCTCTCTGGGTTATACTTTCATTGATTGAAAATGACAAAGGGAAAACCTTAAAAGTGAATAAACATTTCATGGATTTATCATTTTCTTGTACAAGAAAACTGTAAATTCTACAGGGTGGACCTACTTTATATTTGATTTAATCTGTATCCTTTGTTCGAGGTGAGGAATCCTGATTCAAGTATAATGGGATTATACATAATGGTTATGTACTCACTTAAGGATAAATGTGAACTCATTTTATTTTTTTACAGGGAAAGAAATATTGTGGAGCAAGTAAAGAGCATCTCCTCGAGGTTTCAAGATGGCCTTAAAGCTTTCTCTGACAGCCCAATCGTTGGGGAGGTATGAAGAGCTCCTCAAGCAATTAAGTTTGGTTTATGAGTTTAAGGCATAGTAATTTCCTTACACTTGTGGTTTTGCAGATACGGGGTACTGGCTTGATTCTTGGAACCGAGTTTGCAGACAACAAATCACCAAATGATCCATTCCCGCCTGAATGGGGTATGTTAAGTTTTATGGAATTCTCATTTTTAGCCATGCATCTTAAGGGGCTTTATAAAATACCCAGGAATTTAGGCCTTGTTTGATAACCCTTCGATTTTAGTTTTCTATTTTTAAAAATTATGCTTGTTTGTTTTCAATTTTCTTAGCATGTTTTCACTTTTCTTAAAAAATACATTTGCATTCTAAGCCCAATTTCAAAAATAAAAACAATAGAAATACATGGGTGAAAATAGTGTTAGCAAGCTTAATTTTTAAAGACAAAATAAAAGACAAAATGGTCATCAAACCGGACTTCAATGGTTGTTGCTCTTGATTTGGACAAGGTTATAGTTACAACCTGTCATTTGCCTGATAAAAACAGGAGTGGGTGCATATTTTGGAGCTGAATGTCAGAAAAATGGTATGCTAGTACGTGTCGCAGGGGATACTATAATGATGTCTCCACCATTTATCATCTCTCCTCAAGAAGTGGACGAGGTAATCTTGAAAGCTACACTATTATGCATGGTTGAGTTTCAAGTCCACATCTTTTGTTGGGAATTTAGTCCCCATTGTTTTGATTTGCAGTTGATCAGCATTTATGGAAACGCATTGAAGGCTACTGAAGAGAGAGTAAAGGAATTGAAGGCTCAGAGGTAGCTGCAAATACTTACAAGGAATGGAATGCCCTGAAGGAAGGAATCGGATTATATTCTACTCCTAAGGAACAGTGAAATCCTCCTCTGTTGTGGCCAAATGCTTGATTGATGGTGGCGAAAAGTTGGTTTCTTGTAGAGAAGGCACTGAGATACCATTCTCTGGGTCAAAATAAAGCTGGTATCAATATAGGTTTCAATGTAAACTTGCTCCTTTTCTGATACAGTTCTTGTAATAATGGTTTTTTGAGTTATTCAAAATCCATAAAAGATGTCAAATATCATGAAAAATGTTGGTTTTATATGATTGGCTAAATATATAAATAGTTCATCATTTTTAATGTTGATGAGGTCTATTTAAATGGGTTAATATAGAGCTAATGTATCATAAAATTATTGTTCTATTAACATATTCAAACATGTTGACCTGTACAATTAAAAATTGACAGGTTGCATTTTTTTGACATGTTTATTGGTCTAAATATGCGTTTAAAACGATAATGTAATGATTTATGAACTTTTTGCCAAAAGAAAAAAATTTGTGAACATTTTGTAGGAAACATTTTTCAAACATTAGGTATTCTCAAAGAACTAGAATAGGGGCATGTATATTTGGTTTTTTTTTTCCACTTTGTAAGAAGTCATTGGACTGTTGCCAAGTAAACTGAACAAGGTGGTAAGAATGGTGCATGCTTTTGAAGGAATAATAACACAATCAAATGTGAGTACATTCATATAATGTTTGAAATTCAGATGTTTGATGGTATTATTGTTAAGGTATTAATGATATTGTCCACTTTGAGCATAACTCTCGCGACTTTGTTTTTTGTTTCACCCAAAAACCTCATAATTTTTCTCTCTTATATACTATGGATCATTTTCTTCCATAGTTAGTATTCGATTTTGTTTGCATTCTCCTTACAAACCAAACAATTATGCTTCAACTAACTTGAAAACTTTTTTTTTATTTATTTTAGAAGGTAGAATATCCGAAGTTTGTTCACGTTTGATTGCTACTAGAGCTAAACGAATAAGGCATATATACTATGAAACAAGCAATAATTCAGTACATAATTATCAAATGAGTACTTCCATATTATGTTCCACATGTAACTTAGTATGCATTAGGTAAAATTCAAGCTAAAAAAAAAAAACCTATGAATTGAGAGAAATTATTTCTATCTTTTAGCTTCCTTTTCAGCTTTCCTCCTTGCTCGCCTTTCTCTAGAGCTTGAAGTCATCTTAAACCCTCCATTTTCATCTTCTGATTCATCTAAATCTTTGAATGATTTCTTCACAATCCCCAATTTTAAAGATCATTAGTTTTCTATTACAATAATAAAAAGAAGTGTAGTACAAACATATCCCCTAAACTGATCTCAAAATAAACAGTAATTAAGATATAGCATTAGTTCTTCACACATAGGACGGTTTTATAACTCTTCAAGAATAAAATTGTCACACACACATACCCAAAGCTCCGAAATCTAAGATTATGGACTCGAACTACAAATATTGTAGGATGAGAACACAGAAATAGAAAATAAAAAATGTAAAAGTTTTTGGGAGAAAAATGAATGTACCTCTCGAAGCTCTGCAAAGCTTACGGCATAGAAGGTGATGGCTGCAGCTGCAACAATGCCCAAAACTGGAATCCCCAATTGCTGCAATCCATCCATTTTTTAAGCCTAAAGTTCCTTTTTGAGTTTCCCTTTCAAATAGGATAACAATTGGAGATAAAGATAACATTTTTTTTTCTTTTTTTGAGATTTTATATGTTAATGACTTCCACGTCGACATAATCCCTAAAAATATTGATCAAATATATATATATATATATATATATATAAAACGAAGGTTAAGAGATACTTTTGGTTTATGTACACTTTTACTTAATTAAATTAACGAGTTAGTCTCTAAATTTAATTTGTCACAATTTAACTCTCATAATTTTAAATGGGTCACAATATAGTCATTGATTAATAGTTTAGTTTTTGAAGTTTAAATCTTGAAACAATTTAGTCTCTATTATGAAATGTCTTTTAAAATTTTTATGAAGATTGATAAATTGATGAACACAAAATGCGTTTATAAATCACAAAGATGGCAGTTTTATATTATAAAAATTGATCACATTTAATTTGATGAGATATTTTTTTACAGTAGGAGCTATATCGTTACAAATTTTAAACTAAGAACTAATTGTTATATACGAAAGTTGATAAATTTGTTACCAATTTGAAAGTGCAAGAATTAATCATTACAAATCAAAGTTCAAGGACTCCACCGTTACTTTAATGAGAGTAAAAAAATCAAGTGTGTGCCCAAAAAACATGTAAATAAAATGTAAACATAATATTAATTATATATATATATATTTATTTAATATTATTTAAAAGTATGAAATCTTTATTTATTAATATAATAATAGATATTCTAATCACGCCAACTTGAGCATAGCTTAATTGATTGAGAGATGGGTCTCCGACCAAAAGATCGTGAGTTTGAATTCCCACCTTACAAGTGATTGTACTAAAAGAATATCAAATAATAATAATCCATTAAGGCCCTCACTTTCCTCCCATATTTCCATGATTGAATTTTTCTTTTAATCTTAATTTTAAAGTAGTTTATTTAATTAAATAAAAAAAGCCAAAGCTTGTGACGGGGCTGACGGCTCGTTCGGCAGATCGAACTTGTTCCCTTAGTTAATGGGCTGGGCTGCAGGCCCATCATGCCCAGACCATCAAAAGTTCAAAGTCACTTTTATAACCTGAACTAAATCAACTAAATCACACATATTTTCCTAATTTTGATTATTTATTAGGTTTAAATTAAATCTCAGTCCTTGAATTTCCTAATAATTGTAGTGCCTTAAAAAAATTCCTACAAATTTTTGTTTTAAAGCATGGAGTTGAATATAAGATTTCAAAACAAGTGATCTAAAGGTTCAGAAAAACAAATATCAATTTTTATTTTGAACTTGGAAAAATTGCACCTTAAGTTTAGATAACATTGACAATATTTACCTTAAATTTTAAGAGCTATTGCAATTTTTACCATTTGATGAGTTTTTGTTCGAAGAATTGTTAAAAAAATGTATTCTTATGCACATTCAACCGATCACAAAACATATTTGTTTATGAAATTGATAGGATTTGAGAGAAAAATGACATTAGAGATGACTATTAAAATTTGAGAGTTCTGGAATGGTTATTCAATGGCTTATTTTGTGTATCTATCCAACTTAATTTGGTGAAAATTTTGATTTTGTTGAAATTAGAGAGTTTTTGGAGATTTTTATATTGTTTATAGTTATTGGTAAAATTAGTGGGTGAATTGGCGAAAATTATATAGAAAGTAAAAATTGCAAACCTCATTCAAATTTAGGTTTAGGGTCCAACATGATCAAATTGAAAGTTTATCATCAAAATATATAAAACTGTAGGGGTGTTCAAGGATCCCGACAACCCGACCAACCTGACAGACCCAACTCAATCCAGTTGGATTGGGTTGAATCTAACATTGGGTTGGGTTGGGTTGGAAAAATCCCAACCCAACCGGGTTGGGTCGGGTCTCGGGTTGACCTTTGAAAATCCCGGGTCAATCCGACCCGACCCGAGATTATATATATATATACTAATAATCTAATATTAATATATATAATAAATTAATAAATATTAATTAAAATCTTATTTTTTATATTCAATCTCAACCATTGATTTTAGGTGTCAATTCAATCCTCCCATTTTGCTTACCTGTTGGTTTCCATTTGGATTTGGACTTTAGATAAACTTTGGATAATATAAAATTTTAAAATTTGTATTAAATTACGACTTATTTCAATTATGATTTGAATTTGTGCTGAAATTAAGATTTTTGATTTTTCAATATTTTTTTGGTCCATGTTATAAACAAAACAAAAGTAAATTAATTAAGCAACCTGACCCGACCCAATTGAATTTATTGGGTTGGGTTGGGTTGGGTTGGCCATCGTTTTACAACTCGACAGTTCCCACAAATTCCCAACTTGAAAATTCGGGTTAGTCCCAAAAATACTCCCAACCCAACTCAACCCAACCCAACGCGTGAACAGCCCTAATAAAACTTACCAAATTTAAGAAAAGTCGATTCTCTTCCCCAAAGTCTAATAAAATTGTAAGCACAAGTATCATAACAGTTTTAATGGGAACTGAAGTACCACAATAAAACATCTAACTGAATAGAATTAGAAATTAGAATAAAATGACAATTTGAAAGTAACTAAATTCAATCTAACCTAAAAATATAGAGACCAAAATAGTATTTTAACCTTCTTTTCTCCTTGTGCTTTAATATTAATTTCAATAATTGATCGTTTTAGATAATTTTCCGTATAATTTGTCCGATTAAATTATATATATATATATATATATATATAACATAGACATGTATTGTAATATAAGTTGGTAGAGATATCTTTCTTAAAAGTTCGAAACAGTAAACTTTTTTAAAAGGTTGAATAATTAAACTAAACAGAAATATTATAATGAGTCGCTAATGAATTTAATAAGTCAACCTTTGAAAAAAAAAAAAAAAAAAGCAAGGGTAGAAGTAGAATTCCCAAAGAAAATTGATGAAATTTCCAATAAAATCAACGTTCAAATTTCAAACAACTTGTTTTCAATTCATACGAAGTTGAGTATTCTGCCACTTGGCTATCTTGGAATCTTCCACGTCTCAACCTCCACTTGGCCGCCTGCCCTCTTGGACTTGGTCCACTTGGACCAACACGGTCGGTCCATTTCAACCCGCCGCCGTCAATGATGGCCTCCGATCCTACCTCACCGGTCTCCGTCGGTCCATAATTGATATTTTTGTTTATTTGTTATAAAAAAAGTTTTAATGTTTCATTCTTGAGTTAAGTTGAGAATTAAATTATCATTTCCATTTTATATGCTTTGCTATTTTCAATGTTTTGGTTCTGATATATATTTCCATATTTAATTTTTTTATATTGATTTTGTTGATGTCAAAATTTGTAGAAGTCCATGTGTTCTTTGAAACGAATGACCGTCAAACAAATGAACCTGCAACAACGATTTTCGACATTAGTGTAGTGTCCCATCTAATACTCTATGACAGTCAAGTCAGTAATTAGGGAAAGAGAGCAAAGAGCACCTTAATAATTTAGTGACAGATATTGCGTTTACCTTTGTGGTCGTGGTGGTTTGTCCCTTTTATAGACGTTCAGGGTTGACTAGGAATGGTGCTTAGCATGTAGCAGGGTGGGACCTAACAACGTATGAGATTCTGGCGGTCGTTAGAGGAAATTCCCAAAGCGTGGTATTTGCCCCGTCACCTATCTGCAGACTACTAACAGTAGGAGGTGCCAAGCCTCTCGTACACTGCTACAGGTACGAACATAGCTCCCTCCTCTAGTTGTACACCAGCTGTGAGTGTTGGTCCCCACTGCAAGTTGTCCCAACTTGAGCTTCACACGTATCCTGCTCGATTTTCATCCACAATAGATTTTATTTCCAAGGGTTAGGATCAAATAAAGTAATTCAAAGGTGACACTAGATTTTTGCTAACAATTATATGAACATGACTCTACGATTAATACACCAGTAATTTTTTATTATATAGACTAAGGGCTCGTTTGGTAACGTTTTTGTTTCTTTATTTTTAATGAAGAAAATGTATTGCATGGTTCTAACCTCTAAGAATTCAAGTATGATAAAACAATCTTTTTATTTATGTTTTGGAACAAATTAGAAATGGGAACAAGAAAGTAGAAATTAGTTTTGACTGTTTCCAAAATTTCTATACAATCATGAGAATGTTCTCAAAAAAGGAGAAACAAGAAACAAATTTAGTTGAAAAATACTAACATTTCTTAAGAAATTTGGAAACAAGAAACAAGAAACGGGAATGTTATCAAACGAACCCTAAATATTCAAATCTCAACTCTTACCACTGTAATGCTATATTCTTAGAAAAATTGATATGTGCTATCATGAATTGTTATTGGGTTGATATCAATGCAATAATTCTCGTTTAATTATATGTTTAGGTTTCAAAGGAAAAAAGATATGTTATAAGCATCTATATCATAAAATTGATTTTCGACCAAATGAAAAAGGTATATATATATATGGTAGAATTGTAATAATAAAATACAATACATACTCAAATAACAAATATATATATACTTCACGCAAATGATGAGAAAAGATATATTTTTAAACATTTTAGAAGAGCGAGATTTAATTGAAGATATTATAGTTTCTGATACAATAATATTATTATTTTTTTAAGTATTTAATTATTTAGTCAATTTAAGAATAGTTCAACTACTCAAGATATATATTTTCGACTAAAAGATTAGGATTTCGAATTCTCATCTCACACACATATTGTTGAACTAGAAAAGTATTTTTAATTATTTAGATATTTGATGTTCACGATTAAATCCAAGTTTAAAAATCTGGGTGAAACAAATAATTATTAACTGGACTAAAATTATAGTACAATTTTATTTAGTTATTTTAGTCAATTACCCAAGTAATTTGAAGAAAGTTGTTTACATTTTACTATGTTGAAATCTTATAATATATTTGTTCCCAATATTCAGTAATCTTTGGAGTTAATAAAAATTTCCCAATATATATGTCATTTTAAAGCAACTTCAAGTGACCATGTTTTGTAGGTCCACACGTATTAATATGATTAACGAATTTGATCATTTATCTTTGATATGAA